GCGAAGAAGATGCAAAAACGATCTAAAACCTCTAAAATTAAGCTATCATAAGGTTTTACAGCTGGCCATCAACATGGAGCACAAGGTGGAATCCTCTCCGCCAGAAAAAAGCCAGATGTATAAAGAGCCAAAAAACGAAATAAGTGCAGTGCAATGTCATTAAAGCTGGCAAGCAGACAATGAGCGGTAGAATGGAACTGGGAACTGGGAACAGCGAACAGGACGTCCAGGATGACTATGGCCAACATAAAATCACAACACACTGCAGATACGGGAAATGGTTGGGGTAGAAATGCCAACTTGGCTAGTTTTTCTGAGTTTTTTAAACTGTTCTTGGGGAAAAGAAAAATATAAAAAAAACTACAAAGGTTCCATTTAACATATATATTACAATAAATCTAATTTATATGATTAATTTATTTACCATTTATTTAAAATAAAATATTTTAAGGTAAAGTTAAACCCATTACTTTTCCTTCTTTTCTGCTTTATTTTAAGTCAGCACCACTGACTATATTACTCAGAGAGGAGTCCACCTAGTGCCCACCGCTTATCGGACCACGTTGTGTGTCCTGGCTGAATGTCTCCGTGTCCCGCCCACTTTCCACCCAGCGCCCTCCTTCCTGCCCCACCACCGCCAGCAAGCCCTCCTTGTGCGTTACGTATACGTAAAGCTGTAATCTGTGCTTATAAAATGGCAAATGGCAGAGCTGCAGAGGGTTTTTAATTGTCTGTGCCGGATGGCCAGTCTTAAATGCTTCAAGGAGGGCAGCACACACATGGAATGGCCAACGACTTTGTCGAGAATTGCTGGCAGGCAGAAAAAATGTGGAGGAAATGAAGAAGCGGAAGGGGGCTGAGAAATAATAGGGTTGTGCTTTGGGTTTTTTAATTAAAGCCCTCTCATAACATTATGTTAATGTGTGCGGTTGCCTTTGTCGCCCACGCACCTGGACCACCTGTCGTCAACTCTTTGGCCAACTAATTACTAGCTGAGATTGAAGTGCCAGCTAGAAAGTTATAAAAAGTAATTGGCTGGCAGTCATTCCACTTGATTTCGGCCAATGTCCTCTACCTCCACCTCTACTCGAATGCAAATTGAGTGTGCTATCAGCAACTGTCGGTTCCTGTTCCCTCTCTCCGCCTGCCAGACCCAATAAAAAGGAGGAAAAAACATGACTTTTGGCGTGGCCAACATCGTGGCCCACCTGTTTTGGCCCTGCCATGCAACGTTTTGCCCTTTTCGGACGCTTTTTGATGTCGGCAGATTTAGCGCACGTAGCACATTTTAATAACGTCGACAATTGTCATATTTGTGCAACCAAAAAGGTTGTCTCTGCAACGGATCTGGCCGCGGTACGCGATCTGTCGCTTTTCCCGAAATTGCAGCAATTACTTTTGGCCAGCAGTGCTAGACGGGCTTCGCAATTAAAAGCTATGGATGTGTAATCGCATTTGTTTGGTACTAGTTAGAGTCTGCACTGAGCATTAAGGTACAAGCTAAGAGGGAATCTATTGAAAATTCATGCTAGATTAACAGTTCCATGTTCCTTGTTCTTAGGAAAATCACACCAATTGGTGTGCTGGAAAATATATAAATATTTTTCTATCTCTAGTCAAATATTTTATTTTAAAAAATGTATCTTTTCACGACCTTATATAACAACCTTTTATGTTAGAAATACGCAACTCTGGTACCATTTTATTGCTGAATGGCCTTACCCATTCCTAGGCTAACCACTCCCAGGACATTCATCCTAAACTCCCAGACGAATTCATTTTTATTGGCAATTTTTTACTCACCACCCCGCCCTCCGCGTGTCCACAGCGTGTCATATCAATTGTCAATTTTAATTGCCGGCAGTTGTCATAACTCGGTTGTTAATTTTACAACTGTTTGGATCCAGAGAGCTGTCACTAGATAGCGCCCACGACACATTTTGTGTTTCTTGTTTCGACTTTTTCTTCGCTCGCTGGCCTTTTTTATGGTTATATAATAGAAAGCCTGCGGAATCGCCGAGGCTGTGGCCATATTCGATGATGAGCCAGGCTGCTTAATATGCAACTAGCAGCCATATTGAATCATCTGAGAGGCCGGCCGCCCGGGGTTTCTGTCATTAATGAGTTTGTAACTGGGGAGGAAGGGGTAAACCAGAAAAAATCCATCACAGATTGCTTTATTTATAAGCTTAATCCTTAATCTTTGAATATTATATGCAATCGTATTATAGATGAAATGCAATATCAGGTAAAATTCTTATGGAAATATATATTAAAATATGAATACATTTATAAACCAAAGTCCTCTTGATCCTGCAGCCTCTTGAGACTTCTTTCCCTAAATGATATTTTCCAAAAAGTGTTATTTTTATATCTTAACCATATCAAACAATCTTTTCTCTCAGTGCTACCTTGTTGCCTGGGGAAATGCCCATGCTGATAAGCCTGACTCACAGTCACGTAGATATGATTTGAAAGAAATCATACATTAAATCGGTGGACTGGACGACGGCACGTTTAATTGCGGCCGATAAGGTGTTCCGCGGAATCCTCGGGCTGGGATCTCCGCACCCATTACCATCACTATTACCATTACCATCCCCCTCTCTCATCCATAGACTCATTCCCATTCGCAATTAGTCAAACGAATTTGTAGCGCCCAGCTGAGGAATTAATCAGAAGTCGTCGCCGTTCGCTGCTCGCATTTAAAATGCAAAATGCGTGCGCTAAATTACGGCGAACTGTGAGCCACAAAAGCCTAGGCATTTTTCAGCAAGCAGCATGTAAAGAGCCGGCTCGGCTCCTTTGTGGCCAAAGAAGTTGGCCCCAACCAAAGAGACCCCCATCCCATCTCATCCCATGCCCAAGTCCAAGTCCAAGTGTCGTTCCCTGGCAGATGATGATGACTCGTTTTGGCGTCGTGCTCGCTGGCGCGTCCACATTTGAATACTAATTGCATTTGGCCCGGCTCATAGTCCGCCAATCTCTTTTTCCCGGGCTTGCGGTAAATATGATAAACAACAAAGCGCGTCATTTTGACATTTGCCTGTTTTATGCGCCCACGTTGCCACCACGTTGCCTTGGAGTCTGAGTTCCACAGACTCCCACGATTCAGGCCAGCTCCATCCTCATCTCCAGCTCAAGCTCAAACTGAAAGCCAGGCTCAGAGCCAGCTCCAGCTCCTCGGTAATCGCAAATAGATATGCGGCTCAGATAATGATCATCTTGTCGGTTGGCTTGCTTTGAACTTAAATGGGTTTTGTCTCCGTGCTGCTGCCGCTTCTGCCGGTTTTTGCCTGTCTGCGGTTTTTGGCCCGGCTAAATTTGCCATGTATTGGCCAAAAGGTTGGCTGCCTGTGCATTTTTGAGTGGCAGTTTTGCCTCTACAACTCCCGCTCAAGTGTCACATTTTTGTATGGCGCAAAATAGGAATATTTAACCGTGTTTGGGCAGACAAACCCTTTATTGATTTACAAAATGAGTCATTTTTCGCAAAAAACAATCCTTTTTAGGGCTTTATTTTAATGGTTTCCTTCGGGACTTTATGGCCTCATAATGTTGACTATTTAATTAAGTCTGTTATAGATTTTATGTTACTTTAAATTGGCTTCCATATTAAAAGATTTAAAAAGAAGCCAAAAATGTTTTGTCTGGCGACAAAAACTACCACAAAAGCTCAGTAAGGTACCAGATGTGGTTGTATTTCTCTTCATTTAAATGTTTTTTGATTGCATTTTGGAAATTCATTTTAAAGAGTTACATTTAGCCTGTTTTATAGTTGCTATATGTAATCATCATTTTTCCTTATTGGAACAAGATTTAAGTTGAAAATTGTCTAGCAATGGAAAAGGTTACATGAAATTGGTTCAATGCCCATTTATGTTATATTTTCGAAAGAAGGATACAGGATACCTAAGAGCCTTTGTCTTATTACTGAGGCAATTAACTTTTATGGCATTCCCCGCAGCACAGTTTGTCGCCTGTTGCTCTCGGACAACAGGGCACAATGAATAATCATCGGGTGACTACAGTGGAGCCGCTCTGGCCATTCATTTGGCCACATCTCTCACAGCATCAGCGGGCGACTTTGGGGAGCTGCAAAAATGCCCGGTAATTATCACTAAGACGCGCCGCCACTGATTAAGTATGCGACACCGCCATTCGGTTCGGGGAAAGGCCAGGGCAATGGCAACGGCAACCAAAACAAACCAAACCATTCCACCAAGAGCTCCTCTCGAATTCTGACAGCTTGCGTACGGCTGACATGACAAGCTGCCAGCACCGATGACGCTAAAAACTTGGCCCATTCTGAGCTTCAGTTTCAGCCTCAGTCCGAATCCGCAACTGCAATTGCAGCTCCGGGCTGAGTGGCGATGGGACTTCGAAGGCTGGTGAGCCGTTTCATGTTGGCAAGTGCCGACGACTGACGGCTAGATGCACTGCAAGAAAAACTATTTCCTTTGAAGAACGTAAGGAAATCAAACCATCTGCATATAGTTATGATAGAGTGACTGTTTTCCTTCATTATAAAAAGTGAAACAGAATTCTGAGAAATGTCTTGACAATCTTTTGACGATTACAGCTGTACATTCTATATAACTTTATTATTAGATATTATAAGAAGGATAAGAGATTATAAAAGCTATAATTTTAGGTATATTATTATTTACTTTTATCATCCTTTATCTAGTTTTACCTATTTTTCAACGTGGAAAAAGGGAACCGAAATGAAGAGCGAGGATCCGAGTCGAGAGTTGCATACAAATGAGGCGTAGCCAATGTTGACAATGAATATTAACCTTGAGTGGTGCTCCAGCCGGTTTTTGCCTGGCCAAGGTCATACCACTGCATCTCGATTCAGATAGCAGAGGATGTGGAGATGGTGTGATGAGATGGTTGCCGATAATTGCCATGGGCATCATCGACTGTAGTCGACCTAATGGAATCGCTGTGAATGTCATTCGGGCTGATGTGTGTAATCGATTCTGCGGCCGAGTTGGTTTTATTAAATGAAATACTAAAACGTCATTTATTCGATTTTAAATTACTTACAAGCTGAGGGATGTTACTTATTAACTATAAATGCTACGGGGCAATTAATTTGACTGTCGACCTTGATGCTCCAGATTTTAGCGACAGAGTAAGAGCTACAGATGTCTTAAGAGATTCAATTGGGCTTGAAGAAACAGTTCCCACATCCTCCTTGGATTCCGCTATATAATTTGAAGTGCTATCGATTGGGTTCACATGCGAAGTTTGCATTCCCAGTCACTTGGCGGGTTAGCCAGTCAGCTATTTGGCCGCCTTGCACCTCGACATTAAGGCAGTTGGAGAACAGCAGCCGAGCTGGATTTAGACTGCTAACCCAGTTTTAATAATCACGAAGTGGAAGTTACTCCGCGGTAATTACCTTTTGCATTCGCTAGATTTTTCAATTTTTTTCTTCTGTTTTTCTGTTTTTCCGTTTGCTTTTTTGTTGCCTCTTGTTTGCTGCACGAACGGCAGTTTGCCAGTGACTGACATATCGCATCGAATAAATCGCAGCCAAAGTCGAAACTTAATAATTTTAGAGTATAGGCAATAGCTTAGGCTTGTCTAGGCTCTAAAATTATGAATTCTCGCTTTGCCTTCGTGCCCAATTGCGATTGCCTACACTGCGCCAAAAAACTTTACACCGGGTTCTTGCGTCCAAACTTTTCTCCGTCTTCCAAGGTTTCCGGCAGCGGAAGCCCTCGAGTCTCCGGAATAAAAATGGTCCCCCCAATGGCCAGAACGGAGAAAACTCCGAAGATGAGAGGTGCGATCCACAGGCCATAGACATCCAGATCGCAGATCATCGGTGCCACTATGGAGCCCACTCGTCCTATCATCGAGCATAGACCAACTCCGCTGGATCGCACCACCGTGGGAAAGAGCTCTCCGCCGTACAAGTAGACATTTGGAAAGGTGATAGAGGCACCAAAAAGGCCAATGGAAGCGCAGCCTACCATAACATTATCTCCCATGTGGGAGAGACAAGCCAGGAGGATCAAGCCTACGGCACTGCAGCCGTTGGAGAGCAACAGAGTCTTCTTGCGACCGAGGTACTTGGTCATAGGCACACAGAGACAGGTGCCGGGAATGCCCACACTGGCAGCGATAAGGTTACTAATAAAGATGTTGCCGCCCAGCCTGGTCACGTACTGGGCAGTGCCGTAGTAGACCATGCAAACTACCAGCCAATTGTTGGCCATGCATATGGTCTTTAACCGTAGGTAGGGTGTCCGGAAAAGGTCAATCACGGTGCCCTTTTTGGCCGGCTGGCGGGCTGCAAGTGCCGCGTAGGCAGCCTCGATTTCCGGACGGATAGTCTCAGTAGGTGCATTGTTGCACTTGGCTATCTTCTCCAGAATCTTAATGGACTTGTCTGTCCGACCGGTGGTAAAGAGCCAGCGCGGTGACTCCGGCACCAGGAAGATGTAGATCACGAAGACCACCGAGAAGATCGTGATGCTGAACTGGAACCAACGCCACTCCCGTATAAAGTAGGCGAATATGGCCAAGGAGGCGTGGCCGACACTAAAGGGAATCTGGTACAGAATGGCGACTATTTCTCGCTTCTTGGGACCGATGATCTCCATGATGAGGACGAAACTGAGGGTGGAATTAGATATGTAATAAGGGGAGTATCTCCACAATAGATGACCCTCGAACCCACCTCGTGGTCATAGTTCCCGCCGTGGCCACAGCCACGAGAAATCTAAAGACACAGTAGAACCAAAAGTAGGGCGACAGGCAGACGATCAGGCCAGTGCCCAGCTGCATGAAGCAGGCAATCAGGAAAGCAGGTCGTCGTCCACATCTGGGGATTAAATCGAGAAAATATCGTTACTCAGTCGGAATAGAATAGAGTTGAGAAGTAGGCTGATTCTCAATAAGTCAAGACTCACCGATCGGCTATAACGCCAAAAACAATGCTACCCACCAAGATGCCAAACATAACTAAACTTTGGGACATACTGGCCAGGTTTTTCTTGTCGCAGGTTAGATCCCATTCGGTTATAATGGTGGACTTGAAGACGCTCGTGTCGAACTTGGTCTCAGTGCATGCGTCACTGCAGGGATCCGTGACGTTGGGTGTTTCGCAGGATAAGGGCGTCGGTGCAGACAGGAAAATGTGCCCCAAAGTGTGCCATCCTGTTCCGAACTTGCACAGAATGACGATGGAGATGAAGAATAAATGGTATCGCCGGAAGTCTCCGATCTGCGAGATAATCGGATCGCTGGTTTTTTCCACGGGCTTCAGCGGCTTTGGCGCCTTCGGCTGCTTCGCCTCCCGCTCTTTGTCGGTCATTTTGCTAAAAAAAACTAACAATTTTGTCTATCAATGTAATGATTATCGGAATTTGTAAAATAATTTTGTAAAATAAACTACATTCAGTTATTTTTCTCTGAGTGCACAGGCCTACCTAGCTGAGTAGTTTCTTGGTGGGTGGACTTTCTCAAATATTTGCCAGCTCTAGCGCAAATTGGACATATCGAGCGGTGCGGCTGGCTCAGTGCAGACTGGCGTGAAATTATGGAACCCGGGCAGAGATAGAGATTTCATTTGCAACTGGCCACCGTTAAACCGGTTTTCGCATAGCCAGCAAGAGAGAGAGCTTCAGCGGCAGCGTGACAAGTCGCAGCTTGGAGATACCGGAGCCGGAGTTAGGGAGGGAGTCGGAGGCATTAGCACTTGGCCAACGGATCCACCGCCAAAATGGCATTTTGGAAATAGGAGTACGGCCTCCATTGCCGCTGCAGTCTGTCAGCCAGCCAGCCATTCAGCCAGCCAGCCCAAAAGGCCAAGAGACTGGGGCTAAACTTTTACTCTTTAAGTAGGTAAATGAAGTCGGCTGCCTGGTTAATTGGAGGAAGGTGCGCCCGGGGACCCGGCCCGATGCTGGGATCTAGCTGGCAGATTAAGCCATTGTCTGCCTGGAGATAACAGCGAGTCCCAGTTACCCATTAAGATGGCTTAATTAAGGAAGCACTGGCTCAGTGAAAGTTTAACCTGAGAGCGCAGGAGAAAGAGAGGCGATGGTCTGAGATTTCAGGTCGGAGATTCCGCGACAAGTTCCCACGGCAACGACAACCTGTCTGGCGGAGGCATTTTGCGCAATCGTCAGTGGCTGGCAAAATGTCACAACAATTGCAAATAAATTATATATGCAAATTGGATGGCCAATCAATGGAATAACCATTCGGAAACGCAGCGTTATAATACGATCGCCACATGATAAATCTCGTAAGTCACCGAGCACCCACATGGGAGTAAGAAAGACCACAAATGCTTATGGCAATGCCTTTGTTTGGTCTCGTGAACTGACTTTGGATAAAAACCATATAATTTTTAGTGCAGAGAAGCCATGTTTATATTGGTTTTAGAATTTAACGAGTTTTTAATGGTGTGGTAAACGAAAATCAAAGAGGAACTATCAGGGATTACAGTTTGAAGTAGTTCTGAGAGTTGGGATTGCTTTTAACCAGAATTAAAGTAACTTTAAGGGTATTTAGAGAGGGTACTTAGAGAGTTACAGAATCACCCATTAAAGTATTAATATCACATTCTAAAAACCACAACTTACCTTGAATTTCTTATAAAAAACAACAATTCAGAGCTCTTACTACACTGCCTTGCAAACTATTCTATTGATAATTGTGAATCGGAACGTACGGGGGCTTGTCGGAGGCCGAAATTATATAATTCAGCAAGTTGATTGATAATTCTATATACGTAATGTGAGACTTGATGAACCACGTCTGGAAGGCTTCAGCGCTCCACAATCAATGGCAGAAGCATCTCGTCTGGCCTCTGTGGAAAACTGAGATGGCTATACGGTCGCGTGTACTTTAATCACAGATGATAAGAGACGTTCGACAGTGCGGCGATTAAGATTAAGACAGACAGTTTTAAATGCCCTGAACTTGTGTGTCTAAGCGAGATAACAAACGTCTATATAGTGTATTTATAGTATCACAGTTGTTTACAAAACTGCCTCACCTGCGGTAAGCCTTCTAAGAAATGTTTTTCATATAATCTTCTAGGTAAACTTTGAGCTAAGCCTCTCTCTGGGCTTCTGTTTTTTAGTTCATTAATGAAGTTCTCTTGGCAGGTATCGATATTAGAGTTATAAAGTAGAGAGACATTATCACGCAATCTTCATCATTTGAACACGCGTTTGCCAAACTTATTAATATTTGATTTGCAAACTAAAGCTGGAAGTTGATTTATTTAGCAACTCGATAATTGTGCTTAATGTGATAATATTTCTAGCAGATAACTATTAGCTATAAATAAAGTTTTTACGTTCTGCCAAGGCAACTAATTAATGTGTGAATATAATAAATTAACTTTAAAGAGAGCATTCCATGAAGTCATGATCATCTGAATGAATGAACGAACGATTCTTTGAGATGATGTGGTTATTATGTGATAAGTTTGATATCTATAAGCTAAATCATATGGAAATCCAACTAAAACATCTCATAAATAACTTTATCAAGGCAAACTGTATTCATGATATTAGCACAAAGTACAAAGCAGAATCAATGCCCAACTGATCTGCCCTGCAGCCACACAGCTAAATCCAATTAAAGAGCTCCGTTTAATATTTACATTTGGTGGCCTGACAAGTGGTCTAAGCCGATTTCGGTGTCCTGAATGGTCCGCCAACCGGACTGTTTAGGCCAGATATTCGCAGTGCCCGGGCGGAGTGGAGAGGGTATTTATGGCGAGGCAACGCTCCAATTAGCACACAAAAGGATTACAGGGGAAATGCCAAAATTCTGGTGCAGAACAGAGGAGCCGAGGAGCATTCGGCACTTGGCAAGGCCAACAAATGTTTTGGCCCGGCTTTGGAGCGCTTTGCGGTTTTTCTTCCATAATTGCAGGCCAGGCACTGAACTGAAGTGGACAGTGGTCGAGTGGACCATTGGACCGGAGGACCATTGGACTATTGGACGAGTGGCCCTGGCCGCCGGATTGCGAGGAATCCACTTGAGAGCCAGCGAGCAAATCAAGCAGCAGGCATTTAATTTCAAACTGCCCCCTCATCCTCACACACCAGGGCGCAATCAAAATATTTTATAGGTTGGCCATAAAGAAATTCATAAAGCGAACAGCAGCAGCACCAGCAGCAGCAGCAGCAGCAACTGCAACTCTGCCAATTCATACGAAAATTGCTAACTCAGCGCTCACATATATCATTTTTATGCGCGACCACGCCCCTTTCAGCTCGTAGTAAATTGACAAATGCAGCAGGCCAAGTCTGTGAGATGTCTTTGCCACTATTTAAGGTCTTCCACAGCGGGCATTGAGGGGTGGACATGGCTCTGGCTGTGCATGTGGATGTGGATGCTACAAGCTGGGAGCAACGGAATGAAAAAGCGCACCGAAAACTATGAGCAACGCTTAGCGAAATAAAAGTGCTTGTAATATGTAGTTAAAATCCAAGTATGGCGATTATTTAGGAAAACCATGACTAAGAGATGCTCTGCTAACAGATAACATTCCAAGTTTTTCTTGTTTTTCCTCAAAAACGTAGTATTGCTAGGGAAAACTTACCTGTGCTAGAACTCACTCTCTTTCTGGATCAACACTTCACACCTGCCAAGTGTTCGTTTTCAACTGGCAAAAATCAATATTCTGGCCTTACTTTATACTGGCACTTGGAAAAATGGCTAAACTACCCCTGGAACATAAGCACACACCTTCAGCTACCTGTTTACTTATCAAGCATCTGCCTGTCTGTCTCATTGCAATTAGCTACCTGTTTAGGGGAAATGGATAAATTACTTTAAAACGTTCGAGTGCAATAATAATGGTTTATGACACCAGCTTTTTGTTAGGAATGCTTACAGCTAAAGCTAAATAAATCAAGTTTACGTTATAACATTTTTATTTGTATTACGATTATGCAAGTCCTGTAAAGAAAGTCTAAATGACTTTTAAGTTTAGGGGTAAATGGGTAAGCAGATGGACATCTTTATCAGTTACTAGTAACAACCCTTTTGAGTACCAAACTGTATAACTATTTGGCTATGCCCCAGTCCTATTAAAGGGTATTCCCTACAAGAAGAAGCAGCTAGAAACAAAGCGCCGCATCAACGCTTTTGGCCCTGGTTGCCTTGGCTTTCTACCCCCCTGCAGTCCTCAGCAGTCGCCCTGCTCCTCTCTAAATCCTCTTTGATTAAGTGCTCAGTCTTTTATGTGGAGATTTTTTAATCGTTACCTCGTCCTCCCAGTGAAAAAAGCTGAAAGAAGGACCAGAGTCCGAAGGGCGTGCATGTGACCATGCCCCGTAGATTAATCGCTAATCTGTCCCTAGAGGGCGTACTGACATTTTTAAAAACTGCGCACAGCTCAGCAGAGCTGAGAGGCAACGGAGCTGCCTCATGGCTGTCCACTTCATCCCGGGCCATTTGGAGATGTCTTTGGTTTTTATTGTCGGACAGCACTTGGGCACTGCTCCATCATTCCCATTACGTTGCTGCCGAGGATCGACGACTAGGACTCGCATTCGGTCTGCGATTCGCACCTCTTTTTGTCAGTACCTTTTGGCCGCCCTTTTTGGCTTTATAAATAAATTAATAAATTTAAGCCAGCATTAATTATTATGCTGCTTGGCCGGGCGAGCAGATTAATGTTTTAATTTCGCTAGCCTAGGCTCCGATTAATTTATGCGCGCCCTGTTTGCAATTTGTGCGCTGTTTTTTGAGTAATTTCGATTGGCCGGGGGGCGATAAAGTGCATTAACATGGAATGCGGCTGCCGCTGCGGGCAGCTAAAATTGTTAATTTCGAAGCATAATAAAACGCGGCAATATGTTGCAGTTAAGTTGCGACGGGCCCCCTTTCAATTTGCACTAGACGGACGTCCTAATGTGTGTCACATAAATCACCGGACAGCCTCCACTGCGGTTGCCCATTTCGGTGGTTTTCGGGCCAAGGATTAATCCCAGAAGCTGGCGCAGATGATGATGAGCGGCCTGCCAACACTTACCAGATTGATGAGTCAACGTTGAGGGACCTGAATGGCTTGCTCTCTCTTGTATACTTCGCTTAAACAATCTGAAAGTGGCCTTTTAATCTCTCTCTAAGTTGCTCACTTAAGTCATTTATATGAGAATCGCTTCCTAGAAGGTCATTAAAGGTACGTTTTTGGCTTGGCCATTAAATGAATTTTGGTTTAAGTGCTGATTGCCTGTTACTTTCTTTTTAAGTTAAGTACACTTTAGCATACTCTTGTCCTAGGCTAACTAGGATAAGTTGATCTAGGAAGAATAATAACCAAATTATTTAACGTAATACGAAGCTCAAATTGATGACTTTCCATACAGGCCTCGACTTAAAGGGCTTTAATCAATTCCTTGGCCAGTGGCCCCGTCTCGTACCGCGTGTATCCTGATTTACGCGTGACGGGCACGCAATTGGAGGCGTTTAATTTCCGCCGCCGACAGCCGTTCTCACCGCAGCCTGTCAGTCAGCTGGGCAGCTGTCATAATACCGCTCCGCATCGTGGGATTCATAACACCCACGGCCTACGACCTACGACCCCCGATCCTTGATTACCGATTCTCGGGGCTGCGGCAACTGCTCCGACTCGGATAGCAGTAGACCAGAAGGTAAATAAACCCCTTGTCAGGGCCGCAGCTTTATGCATAATTAGCTTTTGCCAAGCGTAACTTTGGCTCCGTGCAAATGTTGCAAACTTTTAATTTATGCCTAGGATGGAGAGGGGTAGAAAGGTATAGTAGCATCGGTTATAGTTTGCCGTTCAGTTTGCTCTACATACTGCATAAGCAAACATATTTTAATTTGAGGTTGTGTTTACATGCTGCTCTGTGCCACGCTTCAAGTCACACAACACGGCAGCAGAAGCCACTACTGCTACAAGAGCAACAGCAACAGCAACAGCAACAATAATAAGAACAGGACCTAGGACAACGGGAATAAGAGCATCAGGAAGTCCACCCTACACAGGGCTACAAAAACTTTCCTAACTAAATTCATTGTCATTAAAAAAGGGGTTTCCAGAAAGTTAAGTTAAAGTTGTTTTTCCAAAACTATGTTATCATTATTTTATTAGGCAAGTTGAAAGGGGTAAATTGTAAAGTAAATATAGTCAATTATGGATGTTAATAAAGTAATTATTTCTCATCTTGTTTGGCTAAAAATGATGATAAAATATAACCATAAATCAGGAAAGGGAGAAGGGAAATGTCATAAAAATTCATTATTTGATTTGAATATTCTAAACTTATTCCTTGCTGATCAGTGGCACATCCGTTAGTGTTCCAAAAGCCCAGCCCAGCGCAGCCCAGTCGCATACGCATTCAGTGCATTATCGCCAGTGCCATATCAGACACAAACATAAATGCAAACAATAATATTTGCTTAAAATTGGCTCCGCCCTGGACACAAGGGGGTACTAACCGATATTGGGGGCGGGCTGGCCGACGGCAAAAGAAATAAGGGGCAACATGTGTTTTACATGGGCGAGCGGACCGAAGCTGAAGCTACTGGGCGACATGTTTGCTGTTCAATCAGTCGTTCAGTTTATGGACCCCTCGATAGCCCCCTCTGCTTCGATATATATATGCACATGCTGCATACTGCATACTGCTGCCTCCCGAGTGTTCAACTTCACAGCCTTGTTTACTCTCCAGTTTGTTTTCGCTGCTGCTGCTGTTGCTGTTGCTCCGCATTGCGTATACGCCGCGTTTGCTGTGGCTGCCCATTTTGCACCTGACATTTTTGCACTGCCTTTGCTTTGGA